GGGCGATCAGAAGTACATTGAGTATGAAGGCGACAGGACGGAGAAGAGCGTCCTCTCGCAGAAGGGCAGGGCTGGCATGAGGGTGAACTCGATATACTCGCAGGACCGCTGGTACAAGGAGGCGCCGATCTTCTGCACCGACTCGAAGGACGGATCCTTTCAGGTGAGATTTGGGTGAAGTTGATGTGTTTTGTATAGGTGATCTTTGGAGGTTTGAGAGGAACGGAGTTTTTTGGTGTTTTATTTATTAACCCTTTGCACTTGGAAGTTTTTCGCTAGGAGTATTTCAACATTTTCTGATGAGATAAAATTGATATTGAAACTCGACGAAGAATCGTACATTAAGGAACAGAACTATTTTATTTCAATATTTCTCGATTTCAGGCGTTATACGAAGTATATCTTGAACGCTTCTCTGTAGAAATGAATTATCAACCCTTTGCACTCGGAAGTTTTTCGCTGGAAATATTGTAACATTTCCCTAAGAAGTAGACCATATTTTGTGAAACTAACTCGAAGAGAAATTATAGGTATATTGAGGCACAAAGCTGTTTTATTTCAATATTTCTGAGATTAATGCATTATATGAAGTATAATATTAAATATCAAACTTTATAGTTTTACTCTAGGAAATCAAGTGGTGAGTGAGAGTCACCTCCGGAGTGCAAAGGGTTAATAGTTAATTTCTATACAGAAACGTTCAAGAACCTAAAATTTCATTTTGAAAAAAAATACAATTATACATGGATTCACATCTTCTAATTTATTCTGTCAATTTCCCATATTCGAACAGAAAGAATTTTACAATTTGACAGTAATGTAACATGACATCCGTGATGCAAATTATGTCTCTATAGCAGAGCGAACGGAGCAAAGGGTTAATTTTGCTCGTTTAATTTTGAATCAGATTTTTTGAGGAACGAATGCGATAGAGGTGTAGCTTCTCTATGAGAAGATAGTCACTGCGATAGGAGTAGATTGAGAACCGTTGTTCAGCTGATAGCCGCAGTACTCGTGTCGACTGCTAGATGGCAGTAGTAGGGAGCAGTTTCTCGCTAGTAAAGTTGCACGAGCAATAGTACAAGTAGGAACGTGAAGGGGAGGAAAGCATACTTACCTGGCGCAGAGGTTACCGTGATCAAGAAGGCGGTTCCTCCAGGGCGAGGCTTTTCCATTGCACTACGGTTAGGCTGACCCTTGCGAATACCCCTAATGTGGGTATCTCGGGCGTATAATTTTTGGTAGTCGGGACTGCGTTCGCGCTGTCCCGGACAAGAGCATTGAAAACAAAATATCCTTTTTTTTAAATTTTATTTAAATGCTTAATAGATCAACTTTATATTAGCAACTGTTTTTTTTAAAAGTCTTTTAGTGTAAAAAAGCTGTGCTTGATGTGAGTTATTGTCGTATAATAGATATGATAAG